AATATTATCTATGAGAAGGGGTGGTCTTAACCTTACAATGGGCTAACAATAATGTGGTTCAAACTCTCCTTTGGCGAGAATCGGACTTGAGACCTCTCACTTACAAGTGAAAATGAATACCACTAGATCGTAGCATTGTTCTAAAAATCCCTGCCTAGCTCCGCCTAGGCCCCGATTAATGCCTAGGTGTTTGAAAATTAAGAAAGGGTGCCTAGACCTGCTGAGGCGTCCGCCTAGGCACCCGCCTAGCCCGCCCAAACACGCCTAGGTCGTGACTCACTTAGACAAAAAATAGATAACTTTCATTTTGCATTTTATTTTTTTCCATAAATTGTAAGAAACTTGTTGCATACTTAAATGAACACACATTGTATCCTTATTCCCATGTTTTCATTATGTTCCAATACTTCATAATATATATGTCATTCTATTTTGTAGGTTATGATGAAATTATATATATTTAAAGTATAAACAAACACTTATTTACACAAAATATAATAGATTTACTTAAATCCACCTAGTCCGCCTAGCCGCCTAGGCGCTAGGCTCTAGCTTGCCGCCCAATCAACGCCTAGCGTATTTTAGAACCTTAGACCGTAGTCCAAGTGGCATGTTGTAGCTAGATTTATATTGTAGTATATGTGGTGGTTTTAATTGTTTGGATTAATGTTGATGCATGCTGGTTTTTCAGTCACCTTCTTTGATTAACTAGTTTTTCTTGTGCTTGAGTTTTAACGATAATGATAAAATAAAGGGTAAAGTGAATAGTACCATGATTGACTTTTTAGTGTAAAAATGTGGTTTTTCGTTAAAGTGAACAGTACCGGGAATTTTTCGTTACAGTTCCCTAAAATTAAATGTTGGCTGGTCATTGTAAAAGTTTAAATATAAAAACATTGACTATTCAGTTATTAACCATTTTGATATTATTTTCTAACAATCACTCATTCTTAAAAGTTAAAACCAACATTCTTAAGGCTAAAGAGTCAGGTAGAAAAGGGAGGAAAGTTCTCCGTTCCTGGTTCTCCTGTAACTAGATCCTCCTGGACTATCTTTGAGTGTGGTTTGAACTATTGATTTTATGTAATTAGAAGTAACCAATTAGGTTTCAGATGAAACCTAGAAATCGATCACATATTTTGATTCCTGTATATCCGCTTATGTGGTACTTTATTATATGATATCTATATAAGAATTATACGACATATATAATAAGATCCATTTGTATAGATATCATCATCTACATTCAGAAAGTCGTACGCTTCGGAAGAAGCTTGTACAGTTTGGGGAAGGGGTTTTTGATTTGATCAAAAAATAAGAATCTACTTCAACAGATATGCTCTTAGGCATGGCCATACATAACATAGAAAATCACACTTGGAAGGGGTGGACAATTAGCTAGAGCAGCAGGTGTTGTAACAAAACTGATTTGCAAAAGAGGGGAAATCGCCACATTAAAATTACCTTATGGGGGGTTTGTGTATGTCCAAAAACTGCTTAGCAACCGTCATACAAGTGGGGAATGTTGGGGTGAGCCATAAAAATTTGGGTAATGCCGGATCTAAATGGATGGGCAAGTGTCCTGTAGTATTCTAAAATCATATTAAATTTGTTACTTAGTAATATAATTTAGTGTTATACTTCTTCATTTCTTAGTGTAAATATATTGTTGTATTAAAAAAAAGGGTAAAAGACTGTTTACCACCATCATGTTTCGTGGTTTTCAACATTTAGTACATCAAGTTTTTTTCGTCCCAGAGTCATACCTAAAGTGTAAATTTTGGGACAGTCTCATACATCTGTTAGTCAAACTGTTAGTTCTCCCGTTAAGTGATGACGTGGCGCTCTGATTGGACGCCACGTGTCATTAAAAAAATAAAAAATTTATTTAAATAAAAATAATATTAAAAAATATTTAAATAATAAAATATTAAAATAATAATAAAAAAAAAATTTTTTCTTCTTCTCTTCTTCTTCTTTTTTTTTTCTTTTTCCTCTTCTTCTTCTGGGTTCAGTTTTTTTTTTTTTTTTTTTTTTTTTTTTCTTCTTCCTCCTCCTCCTTCTCCTTCTTCTTCTCCTTCTTCTTCTTCTTCTGGGTTCGGTTTCTCTCTTTTTTTTTTTCTTCTTCTTCTTCTTCCTCCTCTTTCTCCTTCTTCTTCCTTCTCTTTCCTCCTTCTTCTCCTTCTTCTTCTTCTGGGTTCGGTTTCTCCTTTTTTTTTTTTTTTTTTTTCCTTCTTCCTCCTCCTTCTTCTTCCTTCTCCTTCCCCCTCCTTCTTCTTCTCCTTCTTCTTCTTCCTTCTCCTTCCTCCTCATTCTTCTTCTCCTTCTTCTTCCTTTTTCTTTTCTAGGTTCGGTTTTTTTTTTTTTTTTTCTGTTTTTTTTTCCTTCTCCTCCTTCCTTCTTAAGAAGGAAGAAGAAGGAGAAGAAGAATGAGGAGGAAGGAGAAGGAAGAAGAAGAAGGAGGAGGAAGGAGAAGGAAGAAGAAGGAGAAGGAGGAGGAAGAAGTAAAAAAAAAGAAAAAAAAAAGAGAGAGAACCGAACCCAGAAGAAGAAGAAGAAGAAGAAGAAGAAGAAAAGAAGAAGAAGAAGAAGAGAAGACGGAAAAAGAAAATATTTTTTTATTATTTTATTATTTAAATATTTTTTAATATTATTTTTATTTAAATATTTTTTTTATTTTTTAATGACACGTGGCGTCCAATCAGGGTGCCACGTCATCACTTAACGGGAGAACTAACAGTTTGACTAACAGATGTATGAGACTGTCCCAAAATTTACACTTTAGGTATGACTCTGAGACGAAAAAAACTTGATATACTAAATGTTGAAAACTACGAAACATGAGGGTGGTAAACAGTCTTTTACCCTAAAAAAAATTATACCAAATTTACATGTGACCCGTTATAAATTCAAACTCGTTCACGTTGTGTTGAATTTAGACCGACCAAACCAAAACTAGGACCAATTAATTCGGTTTGGTGTATTTTATGATAATTTATTTGGGGATAATGATAAGCACATATGCTTTTTAATTTCGCACACACTAAATTTTCTCGAAAAATTGGTCATATTGATGAATCTACAGAGGCCCAATGATGAACTAACTAAACGCTAAACATATTGTTGAACCAAGTAATTTTGCTAAAATATTAAGTTTGAAGTGATTTTCACTAAAATATAATGGTTTCCAAGAAAATGTGTTTTTTATTGAGTAGTAACAATATGCATTACAATTTCAACGTGCACTAAAATTCAACACAATAATTACGCGTTTACGTAACGATAATGAAAATAGGAGGAATTGAATTGAGGATGAATTGAATTGAGGAGGAGTTGGAATAAGGAGAAGTCAAAATCGGATTCCTGTTGAAATTGTTTACTTAAATGTTTTGGAATCGGAATACAATTTCATAAAATTGTTTATTAATTCAGCAGAATCGGAATATAAATCAGTATGATTACTAAAATGCCCTTGTCCCAAATCAAATATTTTATGTACTTTAATAGGTTTATAAATGATAGTCTTGGAAATAAAAAAAGTAAGTGAGGGCATAAAGGGAACAAAACTATCATTCCCATTGCCCAAACAAGGAGGAATTGGATTACCACCTATATCTAGGGAATCCAATTCCACCAATACAAGGAATTGAATTCTAAAATTTGTGTGGCCCCCACTGCTTTTTTTATTCCTCCATATTTAGTAAACACCAGAATACTCCGTAATCGGAATTCAATTCCACATTCTCATTCCGATTACGGATACGTAAACACGCCCTAAGAGTATGTATTAGTATTGCATCTTAGGGTGGCGCTTCAATGGCTTTACCGACCAACTCAACCGAATTTGGTTGGGTTGGGCTATTCGGTTGAGTTGGGCTAGGTTGTAAACTTCATATATTTATTTTTGAGTAAAATTCCGACCACACAATCCGACCACCCGTTCACCAAGTAGGTTGGGTTGAAGTATTATTAACCCGTTGAAACTGCCCCACCAAAATATCAACAATTCTTAAACATATATACATATACATATACATATACATATAACCACACTTGTTTGTTTCTACTTTATTTCAGTAATGAATTTAAATATCAAGTAACAAGTAATGATTCTATAACACTAAATTCACATGATTTAAAGTTAATATGACATGTATTTTAGACTCTTTTTGTTATTCATACTCACTTTAGGAATAAGAAGGAAAGAAAATAATTCCAACTTGTGGAACTCGCCCAATCCAACCTGCCTTAGAATAGTTTGGGTTGGGTTGGTTTGCCCATTTTCTTGAGTTGAAATTAGTTCCAATAATACCAACTCAAGCCTATTGGGTTGATCAAATGGTTGAAGTCTAACCAGACCAACACCCAATGCCCGCCTCCTAGGGTTCAAGTCTAACATGACCAACCCACCCAACGCCCATCCCTAGGGTTGAAGTCTAACCCAACGAACCAACTCAATGCCCACCCCTATCAGCACTAATTTAAAAGAGTACATAATGACATTTTCTGAATTGTTAGTAGCAAAAACTAATAATCATTTTAGAAATAACCCATCAAGTTCAAGGTTTTGATCCAACGGCCAGTGGTAGCATGTGACAAAAGGAAAAGGCATTGCTACTGAAAGTGATCGAGTCATGTATAATTGCTTAGCAACGTCCCCAATTAGATCTCAATATTTCTCTCTTCCGATCCACTTTCCAAACAATCCGGACATCAATTTTTTCTGCAGAAACACATACAAGCCTTTTCAAACCCCATGCATTTCATTTTCTTGCTTCTAAATGCATCTAATTCCACACTAAATATTCATCTTTTAATCAAAAACACCATTAATCTTCTGATATTCCTCTTTTTTTCTCACATGGGTTGGTTCCGTTTCTTGCACCTGTCACACTGTTCCATAGAGTTTTCTTAATCCTCATTGATCCAAGATTTACACAAGGTAGACAATTACGACGGCTTATCGGAGAAGGTTACGAACGAGGGCCTTTCGTGACACCATGGGAAGGCATTTCGTGACGTTTTCAGCGTGCCGCAATCAATACTGGTTTGTATGTGCCTCATTCCTTATCTGGTTTCTATTGCTTTGTGTATACCACTCGCAGTTCATGGTAGGAAAGAGCCTGATTGCATTGTTAGGTAATCACAATATCAACATTTCTTTCGATGTTGCTAGTGAGTCTGATAATCTCGTTGACTCGGTTTCTCTGCCCGAAGAAATCAATGAAAGTAGTAGCAGAAAATCTAGAGATGATGCTCATATGAACATTGTTTTCAATGACCGAAGTGGTGGGGATTTTAATCTGAGAACGAAAGATGTTTTCGGAATCACAGAACATGGCTTTGAAAAATTTGGGCACCTTTCTAAGAAGGAATCAGAGCCTCGTGACAGAAATGATCAAGCACGCGATCTGTGCGAAAATAAAGCTCAATCCGAGAAAGGGGATGATGCCGTTGAGCCAGAAGAACATGTGGTTAAAAGGGTTGAATCGGATTCGGAATCCGTTTCTGAATCATGATTAGGTAAATACATTTATGTTCATGACATCCCTAGCAAGCTTAACAAGGACTTGTTGAAGAAATGTGGTTCGCTTAGCAATTGGACTGACATGTGTGAGCTCGCATCAAACTTTGGTCTTGGTCCCCATCTTTCGAATTTTGAAAAAGTTTACTCAAACACTGGTTGGTTTGCTACAAATTGTTTGACAAAAAACTCATCCCTAGCTTCAGCCATTTTCGTACCTTATTACGCTGGCCTAGACGTCGCACGCTACCTTTGGGGACCGAGCATTTCCATGAGAGATTCTGGCTCGCTTGAGATTGCGAAATGGCTGAGGGAAAAACCAGAGTGGAAGAAAATGTGGGGGAGAGATCATTTTATGGTGGCAGGAAGAATTACTTGGGATTTTCGGAGATGGACTGACAAGGATTCGGAGTGGGGAACGAAGCTTATGCTCTTGCCCGAATCGAAAAACATGACAATGTTGGCAATGGAATCCAGCCCTTGGAACAGCAATGACTTTGCCATACCATATCCAACGTACTTCCACCCTTCAAAAGACATTGAGGTGTTCCAATGGCAGAACCGAATGAGGAAGCAGAAGCGGCCCATATTGTTCTCCTTCGCTGGAGGCCCTAGACCTAATCTCCAAAACTCAATCCGCAACGAAATCATAGACCAATGCAGGGCAGCAAGGAGAAAATGCAAGCTCCTAGAATGCACATCCGGTCCGGACAAGTGCCACAAGCCGATTTTTGTCATGAAAATGTTCCAAGGCTCCGTCTTCTGCCTGCAGCCTCCCGGGGACTCTCTAACCCGAAGATCAATCTTCGATTCAATCCTCGCAGGCTGCATTCCTGTGTTCTTCCACCCAGGGTCCGCGTACGTTCAATACCTATGGCATCTCCCCAAGGACTACACCAAATACTAAGTCCTCATACCGGCATTCGACATAAAGAAAGGGAAGGTGAGCATTGAGAGGACACTCAATAACATTCTGAGGCAGAAAGTTTACGACATGAGAGAGGAGGTTGTGAAGCTAATTCCGAGAGTGATATACGCCGATCCAGGCTCTAGATTGGAGACGCTGGAGGATGCATTCGACATTGCGGTTAAAGGGGTTCTTGAGAGAGTGGAAACAATTAGGAAGGACATGAGAGAAGGGAAGAACACAAGCTTCGATTACGTAGAGAAAGTGAGTTGGAAGTACAATTTGTTTGGGACTGTGGAGGAACATGAGTGGGATCCTTTCTTTGAGAGACAACATTTTTAAATCTTGCCTTAGCTAGGCAGATGAGAGTCTCTAGTTTAATCAAATCAAAGAAACGGTAAACTAGTTTGTTCTTTTTCTCTCACACGTACAATTTATTGGTGTTTGGAATCACTGAGCTTCAACTTTGGAATTCTTTCATCATTGGTACTTTGACAAGATCAATATAACTTAAATATATTTTGAGACATGACAAAACGGATCTTCAGAATAGTTATCATGCACTTCTTATAATGCTCGTATTTTTACAGAGAAAGAGTTTGAAAAGACTTGTTTAGAGTGAAATAACAATTCCCTTATTGAAATCATGTCGCAAAGTCCTCCATCTTCCTTTGCCAAATAAAGAGTGCAATCTTATTTATCTTGATCACATCATCAATGATCCATATAACATTTTATACGTCAAGCTTCTTAAACCACACTTCTGCTCTTTCAAAGCACTGCATTAATATAATTTTCCTTTATGTATACTTACTGTCTTTTTTACTATGATTACTTCTTTTAACACTATCTAACATCTGTTGTATCATTTCGTAACCGGTCTTGATAAGGAATTACATTTTTATCTACCACTTTATGCGCTACATATTTTTCCAAGGAAACGATTCTATCTTCTATACTTTCTAGCTTTTGCATAATCTCAATTAAAAAATAATTTTACACTATTAATCATTTTAATTGTTTCTTTAGCTGCAGCACCCGATGCTTGCAGTTTACTAAAAACCATCCCCGGTGGGTAAGGAATTCTAGATATTTGTGCATAGAAAAACTCCTTTGTGCGAAGTGCTTAACTTGCATGTATTTTAAACGTAATTAAACAGTTACATAAACGTATTTAACAACCAAGCGTTTGTAGTCCAACGGTTAGGATAATTGCCTTCCAAGCAATAGACCCGGGTTCGACTCCCGGCAAACGCAATTGTTTTTTATTTTTAATTTTTTTTTTCTTTTGTGAAAACGACGTCACGTAGAGAAGTATCCTCTCCCACTTTCGGACCTCAAAACCATCGAACCACAGCCAATCAAACCGACCAGATATTTACCCGCCAAAACCATTTCCGTGGCCCAAACTCTCTCTCGCCCCCCCCCCTCCCGCCCCTCTCCCAACCGCTTACTTCAGAGCGTGACCTTCCACACTCCAATTTCATGGCGGCCACGAGCGCCTCCTTCACTCCACACTTGGTGGGGTCCACAGTCCCCGAACTTTCCAGAAACCCTAGAACCACCGGAGCTCCGTTCTCCGTCCGAATCTCCTCAGGCAGTAACTACCCGACGACCCGCGATAAGCTCTCCGAGGGCCCCTACTGCATCTACGTCGGCCCGATCGAAACCGCCAGCAAAGAAACCCTCGAAGCCCTCCACCGTCAGGTAAATCCCCCTTCTTCCCTTTTCCCTTTTTTTTTTTTTTTTCTTTTTTTAAATTTTAATTTCTGTTTTTTTTTATAAAATTTTGAAATCTGATTAGTTGGTGGTGCACGTGGTAGGCAAGTGATGCGTATTACAGTGGCGACCCTTTGATTGTCGATGACATGTTTGACAGAGTCGAGGTATGTATATATGTATGTATGTATGTGTGACTTATGAGTTCATAGGTTTTTGATAGGCCGATGTTTTTTTTTATTTTTTGGTTTCAAAGTTTTGTTTTTTGTTGTTGACAAATTTTGCAACTAATTGGAAGAACAGATGAAGCTAAGATGGTACGGATCGAAATGCGTCGTGAAATACCCACGTTGTAGTCTTAGGAGACAATCAACTTATGCAGATGCTGAGGTAATTGGTTTTTATTGAGTTTTTTGAAGTGTTGTTTCTAAGTTTTGCATTAATTCATGAATATTGCTTAAAAACATGGGAAGATAAGAGGAAATCAAAGTATGGTTATGCTCGAATCGATATTGGGTTGGGGTAATTGGGTTTGATAATTTGTCATTCATTTTGTTAATGAGCAAACTATATGTTACTCACGTGTTCGGATGATTGTCATCGTTAATATATGTGCTTGAGACTCACTGCAGAACCCTCATACAGGAATGGTTAACAATCGTCTCCCTAATGAGCAACCTTTATGTTAATTCACATGTTTGGAGGATTGTCTTCAGTGGTGTATGTGCATGAGACTCACTGCAGAACTCGCATACATCAATAGTTAACATTCGTCTCATTTTGTTAATGAGCAAACTTTATGTTAGCTCAATTGTTTGGACGCTTGTCATCGTTAATTTATGTACTTTAGACTCACTGCAGAATACATCGATGGTTAACAGTAGTCTCAGTTATTTAACTGCAATGTTAGTTTGTCAACCAAAATGTAGTTGTTAATGCACCATCTGTTATGCTTTGTTATTTGGTGAAATGGAAAAGTGGATTCTATCGTTCTTTCTCTGCTTGAATATTGAGTGACATGGATGTAGGGCAGGAAGATTTCTCACAGGTTTTTGCATTAGCGAGCATATGGATCCTCTTTCTTGCTTTTGGCAGTTCAGTGTGTCTTGTGCCTGTTTTTTACACTGTTGGCCTAGCTTATCAAGATGCTTTCAATCCAGTATTTTCGTATATAAACCAAGCGCCTGCTCTTTCGATGCTTAATTCCGTTCTCTTCGTGACGCTGGGTTCTGTCATCGGTTACCCAATTGCATCAGCTTCTGGTAAGTTAACCTGTATCCATTTCTAAAGCATTTATGATGTCAAATTCTTGTGCTATGTAATGCGGGCGCTCTCTGTTAAATCGAGGAAATTGGATATTGATTATGAATTTGTATAACTTTCAATGTTATTATACTTGTTTAAGTGTCAGCATATACTAAAGTTTCCTTTCTCACAGTTAAAGTACTTAAAGGCCTGTGGAGAAATGACTTGGTGGCACTAAAAGGGGCATGCCCAAATTGCGGCGATGAGGTCAGTTGGTTCAGTCTGAGAACTTCTAACAACTCTTAATTTATAATTTTTTGCGGCATCCATTTTCTTCTTCTGATTTCTATATCATCTTTCTGCAGGTGTTTGCATTTGTGAAATCCGATCAGTCTAATAACTCCCCGCATAGAGCAAATTGTCATGTATGTGAATGCTTGTTAGAGTTCCGTACTAAGGTTGAGGTAACCTAGTTTTCTTCTCTCTCACTCCATAAATTTTATTTTAGGGATTCTGGATCTTAACGAAGATACGAGAACCTATTACTGTAAATGGGGTTCTGTAAAAGGTAACCAATCAGGATTAGAAAGTATCCTCGGACTTAACATTCTTGACAATTTATTACATCAATAAAACTACATTTACTTATCATATTGCTAATCATCTCCCTCACGGAAGTGAAACCCTCCTGAGACTGGCCTATACAAGTGGGTCCTGCTTATGTAAAATATGTCAGAAACGTGATATATATAGCATCACTCTTGCCACATCGTGGATCGTAGGTGTTGTGAGGTTTTTTAGCAAATGGCCTCACTAGCTCACTTGGCAAAGTGCCCCCTTCCCCTTTCCTCACGGTGCTAAAACTGCCCGGGTCAAGTCATTGGCTCAGTTAATGCTTCCTCTTTTTTATCTTTTTGAAATGTTTATAGGCTCTCTGAACACTGAATGGATATAGGAGTTCGGAAATATACATGTTCCAATGCCATTTTATGGAATCAAATGACTCAGTATGTTTTTTTGCTCACAGTGGAGGTTATTTTTGTGCAGAAATCTGTTTCACCACTCGGTAGAAGATGGGTATACGGCCGTATCTATCTTGTTTCGCGAGGAGGCAGAAGCGAACTCCAAAGACGGCAATAAATGTCTTCGAAATCCCAAGAACAAATGCATATTGGAAGCTTTCTATACAGTAGGACAATTCTTTCAAGCCCTCCTTTTTCCAAATTATAATGTAATAAACCTCAATTTTACCTGAATAGAGTCGTCCTATCCCACCATGTCAAGGAAATGTATTTCCCACAAGTTATTGTCGTTGGTCATTGGACAGTTGAGCTTCGTCGATTGCATTCTTGTATGATTGTCACTTTATGGAAAAGTTTAATTCGAATACAATCTGACATGTTATGTTGTCAAATTGTCAATCTGCATCGCTAATGTCGGTACTTTGTGCGGTGTCATGCTTAAAAATTACTCAACCACATATTATTGTCAGCAAAATCCACAAGAATAATGCTTGAAGGTAATTTTATTAGAGGCTACTAAAACAATTTTGATCATCAGTTCTGCAGGCCATCGTTGCTACATTGCGTGGACGTTTTTGAAGGAACATTGACCGGAACATCAAATCACCAACTCATAATGTTGCTTAACATAAAGAAACGAGAAAACAGTACTGACTTAATGACTACTAATGAAACCTTCTCATCGTATCCAAGGTTATCATTCTTCATGTAACCAAAGTCCTATAACTGAACACCACCGGGGAGGAAATGACGGCGATATTGAATAGATAGCCGATCAGAAGTGTCCCAAGCTGTATACTAGAATCCAGGCAAGCTGTAAAACAGAAAGAAACGGAAATGAGAAAAAGGTAAGAGACTAAAAGAAACGCATTGATCTCAATTTATTTGAGAAGGTAGTCTCAAGGGGAAAGAAGCGATAAAAGTTTGAAAACTACCAGAAAAAGAGTTATGGAAGCGAAAAGCCCCTCTTGGAGGAGAGCTCCATGGCCACCGAAGTCTTCTTCGTCAACCTTTAGTACCATTGCGTAGTAGCCATATATAATTCCAGTTGATATTACCAAAAAACTGTGAAAAAAAAAGTCCACCACATAAAGATTAAGAAAATATACGACACTAGTTTGGAGAAAAAGAAAATTGTTATCTTAAGATGGTGGAAGCATATGATACATAAGAGAAAACTCAAAACCATCAAATCATATTTCTCAAACACGTAGGTGGGAAGCAAGGACATCCAACTCAGGCATATGTTCTTCTCCCTTGGCCTGAAACTAAGAGATAAGTTGTCTGTGTGAATCTAAATAGTATTACATGCCTGTGTAAACCTATCAAGTTGGTACGGTAAATTGAAAACTGTCTGCACTAAGTCCCCCCTAAAGTTGAGGTAATTCTCTCTTTCCGAGAACTACAATATTGCAGAAACAACTTGATGAATGCTCCAGCTTTACAGTTGAACTCACTAAGGTAACTCTTCATTTAATATGTCGATTTGGAAAGAAACTTTCTAAAATTATAATGCTCTAGCGTTCATATAGGCCATTAAGATTCTAGGCAATGACGAGAAGCTGAAGTTCTACACCCCTAAGATCAAATAGGATTCCTGAAGTCTTGAAAGTAACACCGACAACCTAGAGAATCTAAGTTTCAGCATACTTACTCATATGTTTTATGATCCAAATATTGGGCAGTCCCAAACGAGTTTTAAGTCCCATTACTACTGATTTCTTAGCACTAAGCAAACAATGTTATATTTGGGCAAATTCCTTGCCAAGATTTGCTTTGATGGGTTCCTAATGATCCTCAAGTTAAATGAGCTGATCACTGATTAGCAACACAAACATATGATGATTAAGCGTAAACGGTAACTATGACCAGCAATTAAGAAGGTGTCCAACCATCAACTTACATGACGAACCATATGCCTCCGACCAATGGTATTGCACCCCACAGTAGCCCACATGCGAGGGCCATTGCTTGTCGAATCCAATGCAAGACATCTCCCAATTGATCCTGCACACACACACACACACACACACATACAGAAAGTAAATCATTCAAGTTAGCCATGAGAAATATTAACCAATGCAGAATTATATTAATTTTCTGCACTCAATAAATTTGACCGTTTCAATATAGGCCTTCAATTCCAAAATTTCAGAAACACATTGTAAATTCCGATGCTTCAATAGATACCCAAGATTCAAACTTCTGTTTTCTAGTTCGTTTTCTATCAAACTTTCTCGGCAACCAAACATATCATACTTTCTCGGGAACCAAACATATCGTACTATCTCGGGAAGTTGAAGTACCTTGTCCCAGGAAGCTTCCGGATCCAACAACTTGGCGAATTTGAACCGGGACAAGTGACCGTTCTGGTGCTGCGGCGGCTGCGGCTGCTGCTGTTGACCGTTCAATTTTACTGATTTCCCTTCTTTCATGCTTCGAAAAATCACAAATTTTTATCCAAAACAATAACAATCGACCCAAAATCTTCACAAAATTCAGTGGCCTTCTGCCGAACTTGCAGAGGGATGATCGGAGCTCGTTAGGGTTTTTGGATTTGGCCGGAGAACAGAGAGAGAGAGAGAGAGAGGAAAGTGAATAAATTTGAAAAGCAAATAAAATTGAATAATTGAATAGAAAAATGGAATAGCTTCGCTGTAGATTGCGATTGGGACTTTTGGGTGTGGGCTATGGACTGCACGTGACATCAGATTTCTTTCAAATCATTATAAAATTTTCAGTGAAGACGGCTTTTTACACCCGTTGTCATTATATAAATTGTTGTATATTTGAAATAAAAAAATTTGAAAAATCTAGAATCAGACGCCTCTCGGAAAAGGATTCGGCCAGAATTCTTTTTGAGATCTTAGGAATTCGGTGATCGTAATCGTTTATTGTATATCGTGCAGTTAGTTTTTGTTAGATATTATTTATATTTATTTTAAAATTTTAAAATTTAAAATGATTTCTGATCGTATGATATATGATGAACGGTCACGATCACAAAATTTTTAGAATCCTCAGAGAAAGAATCCCACAATGATTGTTTTCCATTTTTAAGACTTTTTCAGATTATACATTTATTATTATTATTATTATTTTATCAAAGTTCAAACTTTTCAAGTTTCATTGAAACTTGGAAAAAATGTAATATTTACAATAGCTAGTCAAGCTTAATTTGATACTGCACCAAACGTTTCACTAAGTCAATCTAATTTTATCTATTCTAAGCCACTTTAGTCCTTGAAACTAGTCCAATTCGAAATAATCTGGTACTTTAGTCCTTGAAACTAGTCCAATTCGAAATAATCTGGTATAACAAACACCCTTAATTTATTGTTATTTTTACAAAATCACATCCCTTCTTCAATTTGAGGATTCAATAATATCTAGTGTGGGTTGAAATTAATTTGATGAAATATAATGACCAATATAGTTGGTATTATCTTACTCTTTGGTATGAATAAGATTTGGGATCAAATAGTCCTATGTAGGTATCTAGGTGAAGTATGCTAGAGATAGGTATGGAAATTCGTAGTCTTTGGTATTATCTTAGTCTCGATCCAGTAGTGATTAAGTAGATACCAAAAGGATATTGAAATTATGAGATAAAGGAGTAAGATATTACACTTTGATATACTTACTCGAAACTTTTGTAAGAGCACATACTTACTCGGAACTTTTCTTCTTTGAGTTTCTTAAGTATACAAGGAGTAAGATCTTCCAAATTTCGAGGACAAAATTTCTTTGAGTATCTTAAGTATCCACATTGTCAGTTGTTAAATTCATGTCATGTACCTTCATGAGTTTGGTGGGAGTGTTAAAAATATTAATATATAAGTTTATTTTAATATTTGGATTTTGTTTTTTAGTTTATGATTTAGGCCTTGTGGGTTTCTTAGGTTTTGATTATCTATAAATAGAGTTTGTAGTTTAGTATGATAAACAAATCAGTCGCAATGTAGTCTTTTTGGATTTTGTAATCGTTTCGACATTTTTGTTATTTAATAATATTTTTATTATTTTGTAATCTTGTTCGTCGCGTACTCTGATGTCAATCACTAGATCTAATTAACATAAAGGATTATATATATATATATTCATAGCAAGCGAGACTCGATACCCGATCGAGAACCACCAGTGATGTCTGTCACGAATCGCACTTGTCAAGAACGAGAAGAAACAAGCTCATTTTATTCCTAGTAAATTGTAGCAATGGTCCATCAAATTTAATCAAATTGGAGTAATGATCCCTCAACTAAAAATTCATTACCATTGGTCTCTCAACTTATCAAAATGTGCAGTTATAGTCTTTTTCATCAATTTCGTCAAAATTTTGTCAAAATAAGTTATGTTGGAATAACCATTTATATAATTAGGGTCCCTCAACTCATTAAAGTGTGTAATTATGGTCATTTTCGTCAACTACGTAATTTTTTTTATCAAAACGAGTTATGTTGGAAGGACCATTGGTACAATTATGTTAAAGTTAAGGGACCATTTCTCCAGTTGAATTAAAGTTGAGGGACCAATGGTAATGAATTTTTAGTTGAGGGACCATAGCTACACGTTTTGATGAGTTGAGAGACCAATAATAATGGATTTTTAGTTGAGGGACAATAGCTGCACATTTTGATGAGTTGAGGGACCAATAGTAATGAATTTTTAGTTAAGGGACCATTGCTCCAATTGAGTTAAAGTTAAGGGACCATAACTACAATTTACTTTTTTTGAAATAGAAGGAGAGAGGAAGGGAGTGATAGAGAATGTGAGAGTCGGAAGTTATTTTTTTTAATTTTTTTTATATGATTAGAGATATGTTATGATCACATATAGGTGAGACTTTGAAAAAAAAACAAAAGCAAAATTTGGTGGTGTGAAATTACATTTCTGCCCTATATTTCTTATTCATGTTCTGTTTTAATTAGAGGGTTAAACTGGTAATTTCATAGGGTTTTGGTTGGCAATTAGTGTTTTATTAATTAGTAGAGACATATATAAGGAAATGTTATTGACTTTTCAAAAATCTCACTCTACACTCGTGATAATTGTATTTTTCTTTCCTAATATAGAAAGTTTAGAGTGTAGAATAAGATTTTTGGAGTACTAATAACAATTACTTTCTTCTAGACAAGAGAATTAACAACACATTACAAACATTTAAGAGAAACTTACACCAAATTTGTTCAGCGAGTCCTTAAATGGCTGAATTTATTTACTAGTAGGCATACGTTTTAATTTATTTTTTGTTCCAAGATGAAATTTTCTCTCTTTCTTGGTAAGAGACGAGCATCAAGACTCCGTTGCTGTCATCTTCAAGTACTATGATATAAAACCACAAATTAAGAGGGTTATCGAAAACAGAACGTTCGATTTTCATGTATTTGCTCGC